ACACTGGCGCCTTAATAATTTCCCGTTTTTGGAGCTTTGTAGCGGTAGCTTATAAATAAGCATTCATGTGGAAAACGCTCAGTAGGTTCTTTCTCCTTATGGCATAATCGCGTTGCACTTGAAGTTAATCGAAGAAGTAGTCCCGGAACCGGAATCAGCGGTATGTCTGGTAGAGTCAGAAGAATAAGGTTGAAAAATGGTCGTGTCTGTGAGTTTAGAGAGGAGATTAGCGTTGGCGAAGTGGAGTTGAATTTGTAGAAGGCATAGACTTTTGAAGAAATTGTAAAATTTTTGGCTAGATTTTTCGAAATCTTGAATAATCCCTGATAAAATTTGCCGCTTGGGCAGTTGTTGTATGTAGCCACTTCCCGCTTAGCGTACATGGGAAGTTTTGGACCTACTCGAAAGTGTATAAGATCGAACCCAGTGTAAATCTTCAGTGAGGACAATCACAAATAGGAAAAGGGTACTATGAGTGATCCAGCGCGTAGCGTATTGGGTTTCAGGGGAAGATGAAAGGGTCGTGCTTGTGGTAGAGATAGTAATTTGTAGTATCCAGGTGCCCCCCCTTCCCCTCGCCCACTTTGCTCGACGACCATTTTGGAGTTTTTAAGGAAAAACTGGGCAGAACTGAGCTGAGTCGGTTGTCACAAGATCAACTGTGGGATTAGATATGGAAACAGTAGTGGTGTAGACAGTACTGGTTAAGGGTGGAAGTGGGGGGGGGGACTGTTGGCAGACCTTCCATTTCTGCCGAGGTTGTCTGTTGGTGTTTGTTACCTGTTGGCCAAGTGAAATACTATAGAAACGTTCTTGGTGTTGTTTGGAAGGTTCGCATGGTGGGGACATCCTTCGGTAGTTACGGTGGTGGGAGTCCTATAAAGAGCCCTTTTAATGGGCACCGTCCGATCCGAAAATCTGTCAAAAGGTGAGGGTTGATGGTTATCCAACCGGAATGAGAGAGGGAATGGCCGATGTCAGACTCTGCGATTGGAGCGATTCGGTCAAATGTGATCGCGCGACGATCGCGCGATTGACATGAGTCCCATCATGACCAATCGCTCCAATCGCGCGATGGGCGCGATCACTCCCGTTGTGGCAGGGCGCGCGCTCCGCAGTCAACGTATCGATCGAGAGGGGCGCGCCAGCCACAACGGGAGTGATCGCGCCCATCGCGCGATTGGAGCGATTGGTCATGATGGGAGTCATGTCAATCGCGCGATCGTCGCGCGAATCGCGCGATGGTCGCGCGATTGGCATTTGACCGATCGCTCCAATCGCAGACTCTGACATCGGCCATGGTTGGTAAATGTTTGAATAGCATACATTATTGTTGACCGATACTGGTGCGCAGGCATTATCTCTATTTACTGTATATTACTTACTCCACTTATTTTGCTTTTCTCTGAAATACTTTTCCTAAGATTAAAATCTGAGCACTTTTAGTGGAACATTTGGCAGAATTTATACATCTACGTGTCATGGAAGAAGTGCAATCGAATCAGTGTGATTTTGATGCCGATCCAGTTCCGACTATTCCTCGTCCTCAACATTTCTATGTTTTTGTAGGTTGATATCCGTATTCCGAGCAAATTGTTGCTGTTGTTGTTTCAGGCAAACTATGGAGGGATATTTTCTATTTACTTCAGAGTCGAAATGACGGTCATCACATCCGAAAGATCTTTTTGCATGAGACTATGCTCACGGCACAAAGTGCTATGACGAGAGACGATCACTTGGTTCGTTGAGAGTTTTCAATTTTTTCTTGCTTTTATCATGCTACATTCGGGGGCGCATTTCGGATTTCACTGTATTGATTTGCTATTATTAACTTCATTTTTTACAGATAATATTTTTTTGACACGGAGCCGCCACAGCTCCGTGAGGAGAAGTCTAGCGTGCTGGAAGATGTTGTTCATGCACATTTTCTCAGCTTACCCCATGTTTGATCTTTATTATTAAGTTTCAATATCAAAATCATTCAATAATATTCAAAAGTCAATAAGGTTCTGTTTTACTCATTTCCTTCATTCACAATTGTGATTAAGGCACTTCGTGCCTCTTGTGATATCGAATTTTGCGCTGTAAACCAGCACTTTTCTCAGTACTTTTCAATTTTGACACTAACTGATCTCTTTTTATAAATATGTGTAGCCAGAGAACTCGTGAATAATTATGTTTCATATTTCATGTTTGTGATATTGTTTTCCTCGTCATGTTCGTTTTGAGGCATGCGTTTCATGCCTAGAATCGATCTTCACGTGTTCTGGGTGTTCAACGTCTAGTTCTGCTTTATTATAGTTATTTTTATGCAAAAATATAAAGGCTGTGCTGTGTTTAAACACTAGTTTTGAAATTTTATTTTGCAGTCACAGTTGCAGCTATTACTGTAGCTTGTTTATTCCATGAAGGTGCCGCTCCATATTATGAATAAAAATAAAAATAAATAAGTCATTTAAAGTATTCACGTAGAACTCACACTATTATGTGCGGTCCATTAGGCTTTATCATAAAACATGTCAGCTAGAGTAGGCTGGCCTTGAGAAGAAAGGCGTACGTGAGTCTAACGTAGTGAAAATGGCACAATGCTGAACTTGTGAAATGCTATTTTATCTTACCACATGACCAAACCAAAGCTCCTTTCTTTTGAAAAATATTATAGGACAAAGGCGTTAAAATCAAAATCGAATCAAAGATGAGTGCGTAATGGCAGTCCCCGTGACGCTATCGTCGCGGCACGCCCACAGACTGGCTACCCACTCACCGAAGGTCTAGCCAATTAGCAGAGGGCGCATTAATGCTGAAGACGACAGCACCGAAGAGAGGCGCGTCAATGCTAGAGTCAACAGGTCACTTTTGTCTCTAACATCCCACCCTGCGTGAGATTGACTGCATTCACTGGTCTCAGAATTAGGCCCTATAGTTGTCATCGCGCTGAATGTACCGGAAAGGGGGGTGGCAGGGGACGGGTCGTATCGAGATTTCGTTGATGTAAGGAGTCGAAGTCGGTCAAACGACAGGGTTGACCGTGGTTGGGGCTCAAAATGTTCTTCGTCGATTCGTGAACAATTGCGATGCTGTCTGAAATGCTGGTCTTCAGGGGTCCTTCCTAGTCAGAGCTGATGTCTCGAGAGAAATAGCCAGAAGTGAATCGATTAAAGAAGTTGGGTAGCAGCTTCAAACTGAAACGAAGGCCACCTCTGGCCCGACTGGCGGTGAGGGTAGTGAAAGAAAGGCTTGCCTCTACCTATGGAGGGAAATTTAGGAACACTTGGCGAGTAAGAGTTTTCTATCAAATCTGGCGTCTTGTGCAAAGGAAAATTTGCTGATGTGCGTCATGGACTTTTTTTTCAAAAATTTATTTTTTTATCCCTACCCTTTGTATTCATAATTGTTGAGAGCAAATTCTCAAATTTTGCTCATTTCATGCATTTCTCATAGAAATTGTAAAACACATCAGAAACGACCCTGTCTCCCCCTCTTTAAAATCTCAGGTACGACCCCCCCCCATCCCAGCAGCACTACACAAAAACTGGAAATACGATCTCCACTCTCCAATGCGACTCTCCCTGTCCGTTGAACATGACGCAATGGACAGTTGGTCCTTTTTCGAGTATGTCGCACAAACGCCATTGCGATTCGCAGTAGATGTGAAATACACGGCTTATCTTGAAGGGGCCTTGCCGACAATTCACTTCCTCTTTTCATCTTATTTACAAGCACTAAGAAAAAACCGTTTGCTACGACTGATAACGCTATCCAGTCTTCTCCTTCTAGGGAGCTGTGGAATAAATTGATTTTTCGACTCTATTTGTGAAAATATCTCCTTTTCTTCCTTCACTTTCCCCACGCATAGGGCAAAAACTGCGCCGAGAACGAACTTCAGTCAGCGGTTACGGCCTTGCCGAACGCACGTCGTTTTTCAAAAGGTTATACTTCTTAGTCGAAAAAAAAACAATCGGAGACAACAATTGAACACAAAGGACAAAGAGTAGGAGTAAAGGGCGTGCCGTGCATTTCGCCAGTCACTTTCACGTCACAGGTAAAAACTAACGGTGTGGCCGCTGGAAAACGTGAGAACGTTCGTGTTGTTATGTGGCGTGGTCGAGCGTAGTTCTCAGTTCTTAGCAGTGACGTAAGAGAACTTTACAATACGCACTTCACTCTGTGCTGTTCTTTCCTCCATTACCTGTACCCATTTTTTGCACTATCGATTACACTTCACAGTACGCGATAGATGGTAGAGGTCGAACACCCGATAGAAAACTCAAATGGGAATGGAAGTGAGTGCGTGGCGCATCCCAACACACACGAGCTTCAGTCAACAGTTGGCTAAACTCTTCCTGAAACTTTTGGTGGCCAACTAAAGCAAAATGGCCAGTGAATAGTGTTGACGAACTCTCCGGACAGCCAAGTCCTAACGAGATGCCTTCTGTGTCGGTTCAACTTTACCGCTCGAAATGATTAGCTGGACAAGGACCATAACTTTTGGCCTCCCTTTCTAAGTCATATAGCCTTGAATGCATTCACCTTATACAGATCTTTCGAAGGGAAGTGTAGTGGGGTTAACGGTCATTGGGGGGGGGGGGCAGGCGAAGCAATTTATGGGAATGGTAGAGTTGATGCTATAGGTTTACCCATTCCCGCAGATTTTCTTTCCAAATTTTTACGACCTCTACACCACACCCCTGAAGGGTTCCCATATACCTCCTAATATACGCAGTATAATACTTTAATTGTGAAGAACACTTGGCAATGCTATAATTTTACCCATTTCCACGCATTTTTTTCGTGAAAATTAGAAAAAACCCAACACTTCAAAAAAAAGACTTCTTTCCCCTACAAATATGACCCCCTCAGCTTCCCAAATACGAATCACGTTGAGACTTTTCGGCGAGTGGATGAGGGTGTCCCCAAGAGGCCCATCGCGCGGCGAAGGAAGAGACGCAGACGCGGCAAAGGACGAGTCGCAGCGCGTGCTGTGCGATATGAGACGTAGTATGGTACACTCTATTTAACCTGACGCCTAACCGCTACAGTATGCGCTGCGACTCGTCCTTTGCCGCGTCTGCGTCTTCTTGTCCTTCGCCGCGGCGATGGGCTTTGAGGAACCCAGTGGTGACAGTGCGTAACTCAAGTTTGTGCCCCAATTCAAATCACAAATACAACCCATCGTTTGTGTATTGACCATCGCATTGATCCTGTGTCTGTAATTAGGAACCCTGACCTCTCCCTTTGTGCTTTTTGAAGCCAAAACTGTAGTATTTGTTGAATGTGTAGCCAGATAGAGATTTTACAAAGGTCGCGTCTGTCTTGTTTCCAACTGCTACATAAGAGCGTTAATGTAACTTAATGAATTAATAAACGAAAAACAAGTAAAAAATATGCGTATTCTTTGAGGGGTAGCAGCGTTACAAGGTATGGTTTGGCTTAACTGGAGGCATGTATGGTGGTTCCGTTAGCGTCGAGGATAGCGGGTATGGTTGCGCGTACCAATTTTAAATGGAATGCGTATCCATGACGAAATGGGTTACGACAGGAGGACCCACGCGGCCAAGAATGTAGAGCCATGCGGGACGGCTCGCACGCGCGGTGTTCTGCGATGTAGGACTATATTGAGACACTACTCAATTTGACGCGAAACCACTGAAGTATGCGGTGCGACTCGTCCGCTGTCTCTGCCTTGTTGTAGCTCGAAGGACCTCCTGTCGTGTACCCTACGAAAACTGAACCCCTTCAGAGGAGAAACAAAGATGAAGCCCTCAAATGTCCTCAATGCCTTTTATGGCATAGTTGGGAAGATTAAAAAAATGGACGTTGCTGCTTATAAGGTCCTATAAGTCATTATGAAACTTGTTGGAGAGGTGTAACCCAGAAATTCACTACAAGCTCTTCTGTTTGGATAATATTCGCTCGCTAACATTTTCTAAAAACCGTCTGGTATGCATAACGTTGACGTGACCTTTGTTTGAACAGCTAAAATATCGAAACGCTTCCGAGAATCCAACGGCAGTTCAACGTGCAGAGTGCAGAGTTCTGAGAAGAATGTCAGACAAAAAGTGAATTATTTAGCGGCCGGCAACTAAAGTTACCATATCCGCAGTTTGCTTGATAGTACCAGACTTGAATATGAGATTGTACAATAAGTTAGTAAAGTCCTGGACCGGCCACAAGTACCTCAGTGTCAGAAACCAGTGAACGAGCTCGAGTGCAGACCAGCACACCCAAGTGTTGCGCGGCCCCAATTGTCTGTAACTATTAGGTACCGGATATCTTAGTGTCGTTTTTTCACCACGAGTTTCGGACCACCAATATTTTAATTCAGAAATCCAGTGAGTGAAACGGCATATCCATCGAATGACTCATTAGCCCTTTCCCATTTACCAGTATGAGTGAAAACCTCGTACGATTAAAGTTAGGAATTTTTTGAGACGAAAAAGAGAGGTAGGTCGAATTTGACATCATCTGACAAATCATCCCTCTACCTTGCTAAACAGTTGGGCCTGGACAAAATATGTATACATTTAGTTAGAGTAGGGTCTGCACTGTTTGGTGGAAAATTTATTACTTACCAGCTCAACTGGACAATTTTTCCCGGAGTCTTTTTTGCCACATAGGGTCAAAAACGCACCCTTTTTGAGCACACGTGAGTAGCAGATGAGCACATTTATTAGAATTTCTTGGTCAATCAACTTCGTTAGAGCGTCTGTGCACCATCGATCAGTAACTGCTAGGGTGTCCTACCATTCCAGCACAAGACTGGTGCAGCCCCGTTTTGACTGATTTAGCTAGGACCACCTTTTTGGCGACGGTTGCGGGCATCCCTTCAAAGACTTTACTGTCTTTTAAGAAAACTGTGAA